TCAGTCTGTGTTTGGCTTATTTTGCAGGATTCACAAGAGAATGTTGTGAACTTCCGACAGGAGGTGCATAATGTCAACTTGTCTCTCTTTTGGTTATGTTATCAGGTATTGACTAATCCATGATTTTCTTAGTGGTTGCAAATTGGTGGTATTGGAATTCTACCACTCTGTTCTTCATTTACTACCTGGACTATTTCTGTAAGAGAAATTCCCTCATCAGCCATGTGATCAGGTATGGTTCCTATAGGAAAGGCAGGATAAATGTTGATTTCTCTTTATGACCAGTTTTCAAATTATTGAGTTGGCTGCCTACAAATCTCCAAATGTGACGAATTAAAAAAATCATTATGAAGTCATGGGTTTATTTTTTTTTTAAAGATTTTATTTATTGATTTGACAGAGAGAGACACAGCGAGAGAGGGAACAGAAGCAGGGGGAGTGGGAGGGGGTGAAGCAGGCCTCCCGCTGAGCAGGGAATGTATCAGAAAAACCTAGTTTCTATCTCTATCTCCTCTATTCAATTTCCTCCTTCTCCCACAGACATTTTAAAGATTTATCTTAGTCTCTCATTGTTAAAAAAAAATATATATATATATATTCATTTATTCTTGGATATATAGTAGCATTCTATGTGATTTTCCCCACCTTTCATTTAAAAGATTATTATTATTATTTTATTGAGTTATTTACATACAGTTCCAGACAATATATGGTAATGGTCTCTCCATGGCAGTCTGTAGAGACTTTCTTTTTAAAGATTTTATTTATTTACTTGAGACAGAGAGAGAGCAAGCACAGAGGGAGAGTGAGAGAGAGAAGCAGACTCCCCACTGAGCAGGGAGCCCAACTCAGGGCTTGATCTCAGGATCCTGGGATCATGACCTGAGCGGAAGGCAGACACTCAACTGACTGAGCCACCCAGGTGTCCCTATAGTGACATTTTTTTATTCCTTTTTTTTTTTTAATGCTCCATAGTACTTCATGTTTAATTCAACCAGTTCTCTATTGTTGTACATTTGGATTGTTTCTATGCTTTTACTATTACAAACAGGGCTGCAATAAATAGTCTATGTAAACATTTTTCCATATTTTTGCCCTTAATTTTTTGGGATAGATTCTGAGAAGTGGTATTGCTGAACCAAAGAGGAAATGCATATGTAATTTAAAAAAACATATATATATTCAAATATAGTTGGAATTGCCAACCAAATCCCCTCCATAGGGGTTGCCTCCTTCTGCATTCCCACCAACAGTGTAATAGAATGCCTGTTTCCCCTCAGCTTTGCCAACAAAGTGTGTTGACAAATTTTTGGATTTTTGTCAATCTGATAGGTAAAAAATACTACTTTAGTATAGTTTTGATTTGTATTTTTCTTATTAGAAACAAAGTTGAACATATTTTTATATGTTACGGAGCCCTTTACATTTCTTTGTGTGAACTGTTTGTTCATGTTTCTTCCAAATTTTTTTAAGTTTTTTAAAAATTTATTTAAGTAATCTCTACACCCAACATGGGGCTCAAACTTATAACCCCAAGATCAAGAGTTGCATACTCTTTCGACTGAGTCTGCCAGGTGCCCTGTTCTTCCAGTTTTTTTTTCCGAAGACTTATCCATTTATTTGAGAGAGAGAGAGAGAGAGAAAACATGCATGTGCATGGGTTGGGGAAGGGGCAGAAGGAGAGAATCTCCAGCGGACTTACTGCTGAGCATGGAGCCCCATGTGGAGGATCTATGAAATTGTGACCCAAGCTGAAACCAAGAGGTGGACAGATGCTTAACTGACTGAGCCACTCAGGTGTCTGTTCTTCAAACTGAGTTTGTAGGGGCAGAAAAAATGTCCCTTCTTCTTTCTAGGCTCTTTGGCTGGTCTAATAATTAAATTGACATAAATTAAAGAAGAAAAACAAATTTTGTACATACGAGAGCCCAATAAAAATATGATATTCCAAGATAGTCAGGCAACTGAGGCTTATATGCTGGCCTAAGCTAAGGAATGGAACAGGGGCTTCGGGCTTCACGGGGGAGGGGGACAATTCATAGGAAGATAAAAAGAACAGATGTTTGGTAGTCATATGTTTGCCTTGCCGAGCAGGTAAATTTTTCAGGCAAAAAGTTACCAGGGCACCTGGCTGGCTCAGTTGGTAGAGCGTGTGACTCTTGATCTTGGGGCTGTGAGTTTGAGCCCCACATTGGGTGTAGAGATTACTTGAAAAACAGAAGTTATCTTTGGTAATAACTCTGTTTGTGGTTCAGAACCCTATCTAAGTTCTTTTAGGCAGTTGAAGAAGAGGTAAAAAGCTTTTCCTGAGTCTGCTGGGTGTCGATTACCTTCAGGTCAAAATAATTCACATGCCAAAGTGGCACATTTTGGGGTGGCCTATTCTGATCCCCTTAAAGTCCTTGGTTCTTTTCCCTCTAATTTTAGAAGTTCTTTATATATTAGGGATGTTAGCCATTTGTCTGTGACATGTTTGTCATTTTACTGTGCTCATGGTAATATTTTCCTTAAGAAAGTGTTTGCTTTTACATTTTTAAAAAAAGATTTCATTTATTTATTTGACACAGAGAGAGAGAACATGATCGGGGGGTGGGGGGCGCGGAGAGGGAGAAGCAGTCTCTGCACTGAGCAAAGAGCCTGATGTGGGACTCGATCCAGGGCCCTGGGATCATGACCTGAGCTGAAGGCAGAAGCTTAACTGACTGAGCCACCCAGGTGCCCTGTTTTTAAATTTTTATGTAGTTAAATTTATCAATCTTTCTCTTCAATTGAAGCTGGATTTTTAGCCATAGTTATGAAAGTCTTCTCTTCTCTCAAGTTATAGAGAAATTCTGCCATTTTTTCCTTTGGTACTTCTATAGTTTCAATTTTTTTTTAAGATTTTATTTATTCATTTGACAGAGAGAGACACAGCAAGAGAGGGAACGCAAGCAGGGGGAGTGGGAGAGGGAGATGCAGGCTTCCCGCTGAGCAGGGAGCCCGATGCAGGGCTCGATCCCAGGACCCTGGGATCATGACCTGAGCCGAAGGCAGATGCTTAACGACTGAGCCACCCAGGCACCACTATAGGTTCAATTTTTTAAAAAGATTTATTTTTTTATTTGAGAGAGAGAGAGTGCGCAAGCAGGGGAGAGGGGCAGAGGGAGAGGGAGAGGGGAGCCCGATGCAGGGCTGCATCTCACAACCCTGAGGTCAAGACCTGAGCTGAAACCAAGAGTCGGATGCTCAACCGATTGAGCCACCCAGGTGCCCTGCTATAGTTTCAATTTAAAAAATATATCCTATGTAGGGCGCCTGGGTGGCTCAGTCGTTAAGCGTCTGCCTTCGGCTCAGGTCATGATCCCAGGGTCCTGGGATCGAGTCCCACATCGGGCTCCCTGCTCCGCGGGAAGCCTGCTTCTCCCTCTCCCACTCCCCCTGCTCGTGTTCCTGCTCTCTCTGTGTCTCTCTGTCAAATAAATAAATAAAAAATAAAATCTTTAAAAAAAAAATATATCCTATGTAGAAGTTATCATTTTGTATGCTATGATAAATGGATCAAATTTATTTTTTTATGTAGAGTCTCAGATTTGCTATCATTAGCCCTCTTCCCTCCCTCCCTTCAGCTTGCCTTTTCCTGGACATTGTATTCTTTTCTAGGTTTGCCAACACTGGACATGGATCAAAATAAACATCTGTTCAACTCCCTGCACTTGTTCCATTTTGTTGCCTGTTTTTCTTTCCTGGACTCTGTGATTTCTGCACAGTGTTTTTCCAGCAGCTCAAGGGAGTGATGACCTTTCGGGCTTTAGGAAGAGCGGGCTGAAGATCTGTCCAGAGAGTGATTCAAGCTGGAGCAGGTCCTGCAGAGGCCGCTCTGCTGGAGGTGAAAGTGGCTTTATGGGAGCAGGGCGAAGGTGCTCACTCAAAGAGCACTTGGGAGGAAGTTCCGTTGTTAATGACCCACGTTTCCTGTCCCCAGATACTTCCTGCTCTTGTTTCTATGTTAGGAAGTGTCAGTTTTCTAACTGGAGAAGACTGGAGACAGAGGGAAGAGAAGTGGACAGCAAAAGGGAGCAATGGGGTACGGAAATTGGAACCTCTCTTCCTCTGTGTTCACATGCTACCCGACATCTCTGTATCATTAATGCCAGTTCCCACTCGCTATTTTTACAACCAACTGCCAGGTACTCTGCTAAATGGAGTAAAGCATCAATCTTGACCTGTTCATTGGCTGAGGTTGTTACTGCCAGAAAGGAAAAGAGGCTCAGAGTTAAGGTCACACGGTTGGTAAGTAGTAGGATTTCGGTCTGTATGACATCAAATTCCAGGCTCAATGCTCCTAAGTCCGTGGCCCCCATAATAAAAGGTTTATAATACCCTGTAGTTAGGTTTCCTTTTCAATCTGAGCCCTAGCCTCATCCCAACTCACTGCCCAGATCCCCTTAGCTCAGATGTGGGCACTGTGGTTGCCTCTAGACTGCGGCCCTCATGCTGGGTTGCAAGGTTCTGTGGTCAGGAGGGCCCCATGCTAGCCAGCTTTTATTCTGTTCCCAGCATGGTGTCTGGCCCTTGGCAGATACTGATTACATATCTGCTGGATGCTTGAATAGATGAAAAAGAAGGGGAAAGAGGAATGTGTGTGGGAGATTAAGGGGCAGGAGTAGAGAAGGCACAGGGGGAGAGAGGCAGATTTGGGGGTAAGACGGTGGGGCCTGAAGATGCTGGTGGCTGGAAGGGGCCCATGTTGCTGTTGTTTAGAAGCACAGACAAGATATCACTTGCAGCTTAAAGAGGATTTCAATTTTTTTTTAAAGACTTTTATTTATTTATTTGACAGAGAGAGACACAGTGAGAGAGGGAACACAAGCAGGAGGAGAGGGAGAGGGAGAAGCAGGGAGCCCGATGCGGGGCTCGATCCCAGGACCCTGGGATCATGACCTGAGCTGAAGGCAGACGCTTAATGACTGAGCCACCCAGGCGCCCCGGATTTCAATTTCTTAACAACTTGGTCATGAGGAAATGACCTAGACTGTGGGCCCAGGACTGAAGAGAGCTCCCCTCTGTGTGGCAGAATATGCACGTCTTCTTCCATCCTTCAGATTCTGAACATTTCCGTTCCACATTCAAACATCCTCAACTTTCATCCTCAGTCTTTCAACTGAGAAACAAAACATGCAGACACAAACCCTGACTGTATTCTACAAACAAGGTAAGGTGAAGAAGGTATTGAGCTCTGTCAGATGGCAAAGAACAGGGAAACACCCAAGTTACCTTCAGGGAAGCCCTTTCTCCGAGGCTACACAGGTGAGTAAGAAAAATAGGAAATGGCTCTTTTCCATCTTGCAAGATGGTGGGCGAAACAGCTGAGAAGCTGGATGCTAAGAAGAAACCTGAAGCCAAGAAGGCCGATGCTGGTGGCAAGGTTATGACAGTAACCTCCAGGCTAAAATACCAAAGAAGGGGAAGACCCCCTGCAGGAGATAACCTGTCTCAGTCCAAGGCGTCCCCAGACATCCCCCACCGGGTGTGTATTCCAGAAGAGCTCTGTGCAAGAGGAAGTAGTCAGCAGCTAAATCCGGGGTTGAAAAGAAAAAGGAGAAGGTTCTTGCTATTGTCACAAAACCAGCTGGTGGGGACAAGAATGGTGGTACCCAAATGGTTAAACTTTGCACAAGGCCTAGGTATCATCCTACTGAAGATGTGTCTCAAAAGCTGTTGAGCCGTGCAAAAAAACCTTTCAGCCAGCATGTGAGAAAACGGAGAGCTGGTGTCACTCCTGGGACCATTTTGATCATCTTCACTGGGCGCCACAGAAGAAGAGGGTGGTTTTCCTAAAGCAGCTGAGCTGTGGCTTGTTACTTGTGACCAGACCCCTGGCCCTCAATCCTCTGCATAGAACACACCAGAAATTTGTCATTGCCACCCCCACCAAAACATCTCACTGATGCTTCAAGAAGAAGAAGCCATGTAAAGCTACACACGAGGAAGGTGAGTTCTTCAACACGGAGAAGGAGAAATGTGAAATTATAGAGCAGTGCCAGGTTGATCCAGGAAGCTGTGGACTCACAAATTCTGCCAAAAATCAAAGCTGTTCCTCAGCTTTGAGGCTGTTTCTGCTCTGTGTTTTCTCTTACAAACGGAGTTTATCCTCACAAACTGGTGTTCTAAGTTTCTTGGAAAGAACCTAGTTAAGTAACAGATCCATTAAAAAAAGAGAGAGAGGGGCGCCTGGGTGCTCAGTCGTTAAGCGTCTGCCTTCCGCTCAGGTCATGATCCCGGGGTCGTGGGATCGAGCCCCGCATCGGGCTCCCTGCTCCGCGGGAAGCCTGCTTCTCCCTCTCCCACACCCCCTGCTTGTGTTCCCTCTCTCGCTGTGTCTCTCTCTGTCAAATAAATAAATAAAATCTTAAAAAAAAAAAAGAAAAGAAAAGAAAGAGAGAGAGAGAGGAGGGCGCCTGGGTGGCAACAGTCGGTTGAGCATCTGACTCTTGGTTTCAGCTCAAGTTGGGATCTCGGGGTCATGAGGTCAAGCCCCACAGTGGGCTCCATGCTCAGTACAAAATCTGCTTGGGATTCTCTCTCCCTCTCCTTCTGCCCCTCCTGCTCATGCTTGTGCGCACGGGAACTTGCACTCTCTCTCAAAATAAGTAAGTCTTAAAAAAAGAAAAAAGAAGAAGAAATGATCTGTGAAGGGCTTGAGAGGAGCTGGAGTGCCATTCAGGCTATAACAGCCATGGGACGTTATGGGCTGGCAGAGGAGGAAACCACTCTGTCCTTGAGGAAGGTGACAGTAACTCCCTCCTTCCCTCCCTCCCACCTTCCTTCCTTCCTTCCTTCCTTCCTTCCTTCCTTCCTTCCTTCCTTCCTTCCTTCCTTCCATCCTTCCTTTGTTTTTGCTTTAGGGTATGATGGTATCATTAATTTGGGGGAGTATTGCTCTTTCGTAAGACAAAAATCTGCAATGTATCCTTTGATTACATGAAATTAAGGCAGAATCTGAACTGAGAGGCTGATCAAAGAGGTGTTCCGTTGCTGACCACAACGAAAAGAAAGGGTGTCTTCCTTGAGCAGAGAGATGAGAAATGTCCAGAGTGGGTCCCCTGAGACAGAAATCATTTTAGGAACAGTCACCTTTGCTATGGAATTCTACCATGTCCCTGCTCTGGGCTGTAATTCATTTTTTTTTTTTTTTTTTTTTTATTTTTTTTTTTATGAGAGAGAGAGAGAGAGTGCACACATGAGGGGTGGTGGGGAGGGGCAGAGAGAGAGGGAAAGAATCTTAAGCAGACTCCATACTGAGCATGGAGCCCGATGCAGGACTTGATCCCATGGCCCTAAGATCATGACCTGAGCCAAAATCAAGACTCAGTTGCTTAACCGACCGAGCCATGCAGGCTCCCCTCTAATTCCCCTTCTTGATTGGCCTATCCATGGTTCAAGCCTCTGGCTGAAGCTGAGTTGCCCCCTAGCCCAGTGTAAGTTTGTGGAGGGAGGGAGGGGCTGAAGAGGCTGGATGCCTACAGGAAGTAGTGAGAGGAAGAAGCAAGAGGTGATATTGACCTTGGGTATCAACTGGGGCTACTGACTGACCCGGGTGGCATTTCCTGGGTCAGGGTCCTAGACTTCTTCCTACAGCTGTAGGAAAGTGGGGGTTTGGGTCATTTTGTAGCTGGGGCCCCTAGGTACAAGAGCACCCAGCTCGGGGGGTCCCAAACAGACCCGGTTCAGCCACTTGCCACTGACAAAATCCAAAGGCAGAGACACGGGTGGTGGTGAAACAAGAAAGGAATTCATTTCAGTGAGGCCAACACCAGACGGCAGCGGACTGACTAACATCTCAAAGATTATCTCCAAAGTGCTGAAAAAGCCTCCAGGTTTATAGGGGGAAAATGTGGGACAAAGGTTGGTAGGCAGCCGAGGTCAGATGGCTCATTGCCTCGGGGTCTTGCTGGCTCAGGCCAGCTTTTATTGCTGGAGGGGAGAGTGTCAGTCCCCCGCTCTGCCCACGGGGTCTTTTGCCTGAGTTAAGAGAGAAGCTGGAAACAAGAACTTAATCAATTGGAAAGTAGAGACTGAAGTCCCAACGGAAGTAGTTGAAGTCCTCTTTCAGTGTGACTCTCAAAAGACAGCGATGGCCAGAGGCTGAGAAGCTGGGCTTCCCCTTTACCGGGTGGAGCTCTTTCTTGCTCCCCCTGTAGTGCCAGCAAAATCCTGTGTCTCTGGGGGATGGTTCCAAACCCCCACGCTCTGCCTAGAGCAGCCCCGCTGCTTCCGACCTCTTCAAATTCTCCTCCCCTTTCACACATTCTTCTCCCACGTTTTGTACCTTCTTCCTCCCAATCTCTTCTTGATCACATTCTTCAACATTTTTTTCCTTTCTACCTATTTTACTTTATTTTTTAAAAAATATTTTATTTATTTGACAGAGAGAGACACAGCGAGAGAGGGAACACAAGCAGGGGGAGTGGGAGAGGGAGAAGCAGGGAGCCCGATGCAGGGCTCGATCCCATGACCTAAGCCGAAGGAAGATGCCTAATGACTGAGCCATCCAGGCGCCCCCTATTTTTTTTTTTTAATCTTTCCATCCCACCATCTTTGGCCTTTTCTTCCATTTCCACCTTATTTCCCATCTCCTCACCTTACCTACTATCAGACAGCTCCTTGCTTTTCTCCCACTTTTTCACTGCAACAGCTTTTTATCCCGTCCATTCAGCATACTGTAAACTCACGGCCCATTGCCTGATAACTGCAGAAACATAATTTGCCAAAGAATGTTTACCAAAAATATTGAATTCATTTCCAACATTAAAAAATGGGATATTTCATGTAAAAAAAAAAATCCAGATTTCTAGCTTTTAAAAATTGAGACTCTCTGGCATGAGGCCCACATTGAATGCTGGTAACAATTGGTGGAGCTGGGTGGTAGCTGCCTACGTCAGGTCACCAGAGTCTACTCGGTGTCCCCTGACCTCCCTCACACTGAGGGAAAATGTCAATTAGCACTTGACATTTTAATGTCATTAGCTTGAGCAGCTTTTTATCCTTTAGCAGAAAAATTTCTGTTCCTACCCACATCTTTACTCAAAAGTGGGAGAACAAAGAGACAGCAAGTCTTGTTTTTTTTTTTTCTCACCCCTGAGTGCTTTTAGCATTTACATTTCCTGCTTTGCCTCTGCAGGCGGCGACATCTGCAACCTCTGCTATTGAAGACTCATGCCTCCTCTCCCCATTTCCCTCCCTTCACCCCCACTTTTAACATAGTACATCCTCCTCCCACCTTTGGTTCACATGAAGATTAGTATTTTTTTTTTTCAAAGATTTTACTTATTTATCTGACAGAGAGAGACACAGGGAGAGAGGGAGCACAAGCAGGGGGAGTGGGAGAGGGAGAAGCAGGCTTCCCGCGGAGCAGGGAGCCCGGTGCGAGGCTCGATCCCAGGACCCTGGGACCGTGACCGGAGCCAAAGGCAGACGCTTAACGACTGAGCCCCCCAGGCGCCCCACACATGAAGATTAGTATTAATGCAGCACCGGAAGGTTAAATAACTTCCGGACCACCACTGAAATTTTCAATCTTCAATCTGCAGAAAAGTTCTGTGAAAAATCATTGTATTTTTACAGCAGCGTCTTGTGTATGTTCATAGATGGGAGTAGTTATCTTATTGACAGTCTATTACTTATCTTGCTATTTGTATCATCTGGCTAACAACCTATTCATATGGATGAGAGCTGAGGAACTGTCACTGAGCATGCCCGAGACAGTCTTCTTTTAGGATCATTATCAGAACAGAAACAGAAACCTCAAAAATAGTGACATACACAGTTTAGGGGTTTAATTTTTCTGCATTTAAAATCAAACTTCGGGGCCCCCGGGTGGCCCAGTTGGTTAAGTCCCTGATTCGATTTTGGCTCAGGTTATGATGTCAGGGTCTTGAGATCAATCCCTGTGTCGGGCTCTGCGCTGGGTGTGGAGCCTGCTTAAAATTCTCTCTCTTTCTCTGCACCCCCCCTTCCTTGCAAGTGTGTGCACGCTCTCTAAGAAGAAAAATCAATCTCAAGGTGAGAACAGGGCTCCTGATAGTGCAGTGGGAACCTGGCTCCCGCAGCCTCCTGAACAATGGTCTCTACGGCTGGCTGGGTCTTGCTTCATTTCTTCATCTGTTTTCTTCCTTACCCCTTACCACATTCTGACATACTATCTAGCAGTTTGTTTATGATCTGACTCTTCTCACTGAGGGAAGGGATTTTTGTCTGTTTTCTTCATGCGGAGTCCCCAGCCCTGAAACTTCCTTGTGTCTGTTGAGTAAATGAGGGAATGCTGTTGAGATGCCCACCGGAGGCCAGGCTGCCGTGCTGACGCTTCAGGCAGGGGAAGCGGGAGTGTAAAGGGCCAAGGGGACCCAAGCCTGTAGAGTCAGCTCCAGAAAAGTCCCATTTAGTGACTTAGAAGGACATCCCATTCACCTGTGTCACATACCCACTTCTACCTGCATGGGAAGCTGAGAAAAAAAAATTTTTTTAAAGCAGAGGAGTATTGCTAAACAAAGTAAAATTGGGCTTCTGTCAGTAGGGGGAATAGAGAATGGATATCAGGTCTCTGCAAGATGGCTGTGATGCACTCTGAGGGCTTGGAGCTCCAGGAATCCTACACGAAGCTCTTTACCATGGCCCTATGCCTCCTACTTTATTTACTCTTGTGAGGAACATCAGCTTCCTTGCACTTCATTACACTGTGATTCCTTAATTCCATACTTACCATTTACTTGTTGGGTTTCTAAAATGTACTTGCATATAAAACCAAGAACTATGAATAGTAAGATAATCCCCACCTTTATTACACAAACTATTCTATTTTAGGTATCACTATTCTTTCTGAAACATTCAGTGGCTTAAGCTTTACCCAACAGGCCCCTGACTTTGTGTGTGCTTGCACGTGTGCATGCGCAAGCAAGAGTGTATGCATGTGTTTACACGTGCACAGACCCGTGTCCACATAGGACAAAAAGGGGAAGAGAAAAGAAGCTTCCCCATGTCTCTTCCTCCTGCCTTCCAAGGCAGATGTTGTCTGGAGCTGAGAATGCTTTAATGTGTAGAATGCAGGGCTGTGTACCCCAACAGATAACCTGAGGCACAGGGAGAATTGGGTAACTCGGGCCCTGCCTATGAGCTCACAAAGGTGGTAAGTGTGGCTGAATTTTCAGCCTCTGCTCGACTCCCTTGGCCTCATGCCCCAGCAGGGCATAGACAGCCTCCCCAAAGGAAGGGCCCTTTTTTTCTAACCTGCACAAAAGTTGCCCCTTGTTGCCCAGCTTGTATGCCTCTGGGCTACCTGTGCCTATGTAATTCGCCCTGAGGGGGAGTCTTTTAAAAACGCACACAAAGTCTCCCTGTAGGCGGGCTGCAGCTAGCTCTCCTGTATGGATGTCAGCTTTCTCTCCTGCTGGGTCCCATGGTCAGGTATCTGCGTGTGAGTCATCACTGAAACCCTGACTCTTTCTCTTTCTTCTTTCCTCCATCCAGTCAGTGTGTGACTACTGAATGAAAATAAGCTGAAGACAGACACATTCCATTCTCCAATTCAGACCATCACCTTCTGCTAAGCCGCCCCCCACCATGTGCTGCTGCAAGAGAGATGGAGCCAACTTGCGGGGCTACCCAACCGATCCTGTGGAAGCCGCTGAGTCCAAGGTGAGAGAATTCACCCAGGACAGGACAGAGGAGACAGAAGTTTACTGAATACCCTGCAAGGGAGTAGTGGACAGGCAGCAAAGGAGAGCCTGCCTGCCAGGAGGCAGTGGTGGGGGCTACAGTTAATGGGGGACCGAGGAGGTGTGGGAACATATGGAATTTTCCTTTTTTCGTACCTGTGCCCATGTGTAAGTAGCCCATTGGTCAGCTAGGGCTTCTGGCTATTTCGAGGTGGGTCGCCTGATGGGCCTGTTTGCACTCAGCCTGGTGGTCACCACAGGCCCTTTTCCTTGCTCAGATTTCCAGGGCTCAAGCCTGCTGCCTATGAGCGGCCTCTACAAAGCTCACAGGGGGTACAACCCATATTGTACTCCATTGAGGGACACTTGGGGATATACTGACTCCCTCCGGATTGCCTCTGCAGGTGTCTGACCCCATCCTCCTTCATTTTAATTCCATTTTAGAGAGCGCTGTCTTCTGATACCAGCACCAAACAAGTATGAACTGTTTCTGGAACCCCTTGTGCACTGGCCACACTTTTGAACTCAGAGGACTTACGAATGTATGAAATAATTAGATCGACCCCCCCCCTTTTTTTAAGTAGGCTCCACGCCCAGTGTGGAGCCCAACATGGGGCTTGAACTCACGAGCCTGAGATCAAGACCTGAGCTGAGATCAAGAGTTGGACACTTAACTGAGTGAGCCACCCCATAATTAGATCTATCTCAAAATGCTCACCAAATAATAAACGTACGCAACAGCTATGCAGCAGAATGGTTTTTAAAATAATGGTTTAGCCTTTTTATCACATTAAATCTCATAGGGAAAGAAGCTCACTACATAAGAAAAACATGGAGGTGGAACTTCTCTGGGTGAAGAGGGCCAAGGAGTTGAATCCTACCCACTGTGTACCCATCTGGATACTCACTAGAGCCCTTAGAGGCCCTTCTGTGGATCTCCAAGGATCCCTTGAACCCTTGGTTTGCAAATGTATAGGGTTTGCAAATGTATAGCGTTTGCAAATGTATGGGGTGGTGAAAAGAGCTCAGCCTCCCAAGTTGGGAAATGGTGTGCGTTTTGGCTTTGCTGTCAACTATCTGAGTGACCTGGGGCAAGTGAAGCAATCCACTCACTTCCTGTCAGCCTCATGCCCACACCCACAGGAACAGGAGACCAAGCCATGCAGGGGCCTGCATCTACGGTGGAGAATTACTCAGATATCCCCTCCTCCTCATCTACTCAGAATGTCCTTTCTCAGCAGCCTCCTCCATCTTGTGGTTGGCTATTTATCTGGATGGGCTATGTATCTCCGATATCAGCAGAGCTGATTGCTGCCCCAAACTCCATCATCCTCTTCAATGGAATCTCAATCTTGTCTGGTTGACAATGTACTACTTAAGACACTTACTTCCCCAGACTCCCTTGCATCTAGGGGTGGCCACCTGGCTCTATGGCTAATGAGTCATCAGCAGAAGTCCGCTTGGTGTGGCTTTCAGCAATTCAATTGCTTTCCTGATTAAGAAAAGAAAAGATAGATCCTGTTGCAACATGCCTTATGCTCTTTCCTCTTCCTTTCTGCCTGCCATGTGGATGTGAAGCCTGCAGGCAGAACAGCCACCTTGCACCCATGAGGCAGAAGGATGGACTGGTATAGGTGGGAGGTAGCCACTTAGGCAACACTGGGGCCCCAGCATTTTACCAAGCTACAAGAATTGGGCCAATGCAGCAGCAATGTCTTTCTTGGTGAGCGCTGTCCTCCTTGGAGAGCCAGATAGAGGTGGGGTCTTGAGCCATTAACACCCATCCTGCCTGCGAAGGTGAGAAAGGGAAATCCAAAGAGGTTGGGTCTCATCTGGGGTCTATGAAGGGCTAATGCGCCAGTGATCTTGCCTGTCTTACCCACCTCCTTGTAATAATATTGTCCTAATCTTTCTTCCATGACCTTGCCTCTGTCTCCCAGGCTATTTTCTATGGTCTCAGTTTTTGGCCGTAGCTTTGAGAAAATTTTCTTACTACTATTCTTTGTTCATTTTGCAGTTCTCTGAAGATATTCTTCTGATAGCTTTTTGTCATTTGTCGTTCTTTTTTTCTCTATTCCTTTTGTGTCATCATTATTTCTTGCTTATTTCCGTCATATGCCCACTCCCTGAAATTTGATCTACCCTTCAAGGTCTGTCTCAGATGCTTTTATGAAACCAGCCTGGATGGAGACATTTCCCTTCTCTAGAACCCCACAGCACTTAGTTTCCGTGGCTTCTGGGATCATCAGCAAACTGGCATGTGCTCGATTAGACTTACTCCTTTTACTACCATTTAGGTTCCTTAAGACAGGGATTGTCTTGTACTTAACCCTGCCCGTGGCACATTATACTTGCTTGATAAGTATTCATTGAATTCAACTGGAAATTCCAACTTGGGAAGAGAAGACAAACATCCTAAGCATGATGCATTTAAATACAGTGGAGATCATTTCCCTCGAGAAATGCCTCCTATACAGGCCTTTGCCACACAGATATAGGACTGGAAAAGGGGAAAAAAAAAAAAGGCATGGCTGAAAACTACCTGGTCAGAGAACTCTTCTTCAGGAGAAACACAAGCTACAAAAGAAATCACTATCACCTCTCAACACCTGTAATAAGGAAATTCTGAATAACTCTTTCCTGGGGACCCACTGAGTCAGAGGTTCACACCTGGTTAGGTAGGTAGTGGGTGTGATCAGGGAAGAAGTGATGAATATTCTTTCGGCTTCAGCATCCAGCGTCAGCTCTTTATATGGCAGCGATGCAGGTTTGCATAGGTAGAGTCCTTGCTGTTGTTCAGAGTACTTTCACACACAGGCCCAAACAGGACAAAGCAAGGGTAGCTGCCTAGAAAAGGAACTTGAAGGAGCAGGCTCAAAGGATCCCTCAATTGTTGCCCCAGAAGAAGAGCCTTCTTTGGGGTGGGAACACGACAGGAAAGGAAAAGAACTTCCCCGTCTTGACAGTTTTAGCATCGACATGTCTAGCAACCAATTAGATGTGAGAATCGGAAGCTCAGGAGGGAGGGAGTGGGCTGAAGAGTAGATTTTGGAGTCACTGGCATGTCAGTGGGGATTCAAACCCTGACGGTGGGCGAGGTCACTCTTGGAGGGTAAGGAAGAAGGGGAGGTTGGGGTCCCAGCCCTTCCGTGGTAAGTACAGGACAAAGACCCCTGAGAAGGCCAGCCAGAGACGCTAAGGCTAGGTAGGAGAGGAAGTTATCGTGGAAATCGAGAGTTGAGACTTCTGAGAGGAGAGAGAGAGGGAGAATGAACCAGCATCAGCGAATGCAGCAGCGTTTCTGGGAAGGGAAGAATCACAAAGTACCTGCTGGATTTGGAGTGGGGCACAGGAACGGGATGCATGGGATAGAAGTGGAGACAGAAGGTGGATTTCCAAGGTGCCAGAAAGGAAGGAGAAGCAAAGAGAGAATGGTAGACACAGAGGTAGGGTGACAGTCACCAGCTGTCAGCTCCTTCAGGGTCCTTCCTTTTTCTGGGCAGCCCCACATAGTGACTGAGCAAGGATGGGGCTGGAAAGGCCTGGCTGGTTCAGCCCAATTTGGTTTGCTCTGGGGGGCTGGCCATGGCTATCAGAGACTCTGCAGGCCTCCTTCTGCCCTGTTCTGCCTTTTACTTCACGGAGGTTGATTCCTAACCGATATCTTGCATCCCAAATTCCATCTGGGTGTCTGCTTCCAGAGACCCCAACCTCTGACAGGGGGGTGGAAACAAGTCTTTTGAAGAGTTTATTGGGAAGGAGAAAAGGGTCTCTAAATTTTTTCTTCCTGTTTGTCTTAAGAGCAGGAAGGAGAGGAAGGAGGCTGAGAGGGAGTGCTTGCAGATACTGGAAGGGGACAGGAGGGTTAATAGGGGAGGCCTGGGGAGAAGATAGAAGATGGCCAGGAAGAGTGATTGGCCTGGAATTGGAGGGATATTTTGCCCACTCTGAGACCGAGGCTGAGAGCATATTGATCAGGTGAATTTAGATTGTTTTCGGGGGTAGTTGAAGAAGTGAGGAACATTCTTCTCAGTGACTTCAAAGATCAATTGCTAGAGAGATGAAAGGAGGAATCCTTGGGGTTCAGGTGGATAAGATGCTTTCACCCACATGAGGATTTGGGGGAAGCAGGGCAAGTTTTAGCTGAGCCATATACAGAGGAGAAACTATGGGCAAAACCCATAAAACAAGAGAATGGGATCTGGGATGGAGAAAAGAAAGACCCACTTCTTCCTGTTAGAATCTGTTTGGTCTGACTAGATGGGTTTTGGGTAGATTTTGGAATCTAATGGATTTTCTATCCTTCAAACTCTGTGCCATCCTCATATTTTGCTAAACATCCTTTATGTAACACATGAGACATGATATAAATACTGAGCAGGGCAGGACTGAAGTGAGAACGCCCTCAGCACCTTGGAATTCTGTCATTTAATCAGTTCCAGGGTCTTCTAACTGTGTAGTTACCAATTCCAGATTTCTCCATTTGTTCCAGAAGGATATAATTTGAGATGTCATGAAATGCCTTAATCACATGCAGACCCTTGGTCTGCTATAGTGCCTCTTTCTATCAGTCTTAACCCTGACAAGACAACATGAACGAGGACAGTCTGGCATGACCTGCCTTTGCTGAGCCCCACAAGCCCCTGAGGCCCCACTGACTTCTCCTAAGGCCTCACAAGACACCTTTTTGTATCTCATTTGCGGATTTTTGCCTATGGTCCTTGTCAAGGTCACCGATTTGTAATTTTCAACATTCACCTTTGTCCATCTTTGGAAGTCAAAGGTACCTCTGGCCTTCTAACACCTGTCTGCCTTTTCATGATTCCTCAAAGATCATTGATGGTGACGTGGTGATACTAAGAGTATCCACGTGATTTTTTGGGGGGGGGTGTACTCTGACATGTAATCCTTTCATAATAGGAAGTTTGAACACATTTAGTGCAGCTACAGTTTCTCTTACCTTCTTTTCTTAGGTGTTGTGTTCTGATCCCTGTCTACCAATAGTCATCCCAACCTTCCCACTCAAAGGCTATGCTTCCCTTTTTTTTTTTTTTTTAAGATTTTATTTCTTTGACAGAGAGAGACACAGCAAGAGAGGGAACACAAGCAGGGGGAGTGGGAGAGGGAGAAGCAGGCCCCCTGCGGAGCAGGGAGCCCGATGCGGGGCTCGATCCCAGGACCCTGGGACCATGACCTGAGCGGAAGGCAGACGGTTAACGACTGAGCCACCCAGGCGCCCCCAAAGGCCGTGCTTCTTATTGAGAAGCTGGAAGCACTCAAAGGATTCTGCTCTCCATCTCTAATCTGGGAACACTATGAGTGGCCATGAGTGAGGGATGTATCCCTTCGTCCTTTGTCCTTTTGTCATAATCAGTTGCACATCCTCGGAGAGCAAACTTCCTTATCTTTCCCTGTAGGGATCCAGACACTATCAAGCTCAATGCCCTGGCGCTCCGTATGCGGCGACTGATAGATTCTCATGGGAAAATGGGGGCGGGGAATAAAACGGAAGGGGAATAACTCTAAAAGGACTCATTCACAGGTTCTCCAACTACAAAGGCCCTGCTCAAGCCAGGTACTTGCATGTTTGGCCACCAGATGGCACCAGATGAGTGCTTTTAAGAAAGGAAAAAAAAAAGAGGAAGTCGGCCGTTCCTAACAGCCACCACGAGGCAATCCCGCTAGATACAGGTACCCCTGCTTTTTGAAAGTTTGAGCTATGCCATTTCACTTTTCAAAAGACCTACATTAGTACCTGCTTTCCCGGACCGAAAGAAATCTGAAGAGGATATTTGCTTCTGTGGAAAAAAAGTGAAAAGTGACAGCAGTCAGCACTGATTTCCCGGGAGCCCTTACGGAAACTGCCGGCAGCACGAGCTTTGGGAGTGGCGCCACCAAGCGCCTTCGCGGGGAATTACACTCAGCCTCTCAGCATCTCCCCGTGGAACTATGTGCGCATAGGTGCTTTATCTGGATTTCTTTTGTGCCTCCGTTAGCACGATGTGCCCTAAGGTATCAGAAAAGCCCAAGAGAGATTATTTTTTGGGTCTTGGGATGTTAAAATTTTTTCCATATAAATTAATGTTAGCTGTTTCTTCACTGTATGCCATTTTGGCTTCCAAAAGTTTTCATAGGAATGCTCTATTTTTGGAGAGGGAGGGAAACCTGTAATCGATGCTGAAAACGCCCACAAGAAAGCATATTTCACGTGTCTGTTCTAAGTGTCAGTTGATATTTTGATGTGCTTTTCTTGCCATCAAGGTACAGACGAATTCCTTTCTTAACCTTAAAATGACAGATAAGGGCCTCCCGGCCCTGTTTAGTCTAGATTTTCCTTCCCTGCCTTGTGTCTAGAAAGCCACCTGGGAGTAAGAACTGGAAGCAGGCTTATCTTTATTTGCATCTAACATGAACTTCCCTTGGCTATAGACTGCTCGCCAGTGAGCCATTGAATACCGCAGTAGAAGAAGAGGTCAGTGAGGAATTATTGCTAATATTAGTATTATTGGACTAAAATACGTATCCCATTTTGTGAGGAGAAGTGCTGACTGTCTTGTGCTGTCTGAAGATGAGTACAGTTGGCCCCTGCACATTAGCCTCTCTCTTCTGGTTACATCCAGATTGGATTTGGCACATGTGGGATCTAGAGTCCAAGGTAAGGAGTGCCTGAGAGTCCACCACAGGTCTTTGGGGCTGAGAAGGTGGGAGTAGGAGGCACAAGGCAAGAGGGAACTGAGAAAAATAAAGACGTTCAGCGCTGGCTTTGTGCTTCTATACATTTTTGACCCTGGGGAATTTTAAAGGACTATTTTTTTAAAAGATTTTATTTATTTATTTGACAGAGAGAAACACAGGGAGAGCAGGAACACAAGCAGGGGGAGTGGGAGAGGGAGAAGCAGGCTTCCCGCGGAGCAGGGAGCCCGATGAGGGACTCTATCCCAGGACCCTGGGACCATGACCCCAGCCGAAGGCAGACGCTTAACCGCCTGAGCCGCCCAGGCACCCCTAAAGGATTATTTCTAATATTTATCTTAGGTGGTTGGATTCATTCTTTTACTCAATAAAAATACCAGGCATAGTGTAGGAGTTGAGGATAAATAGTAAATAAGGCAGAGTTCTAGGCTTTAAGGCACTTTCTAATTTTGGTCTAAAGACCACAGGGAGATGGAGATCCCAGGAGAGGTTCTTGACTGAGGCCCCAGGAAACCCCCAATGCCCAGATGTGTGGGTGGAGACAGAACTCCCCCTGAAGGCAAAATTCCTTTAAAAACTTTGTTGATTGTGAGGAATAAATTACAATGGCAAACCTTCATCATAACATCCTGGCACATTTTTTTTTAAGATTTTATTTTTAGTTATCTCTATACCCAATGTAGGGCTCGAGGTCACGACCCCGGGGAGATCAAGAGTCGCACATACCCCTCGCTTATTTCTTATATAAGGGAAGATACTGAGGGTTTGCTGAAGAAAGGAGAAAGCAGTATAATGGGAACCGTGTTGCAAAAGTATAAATTGCTCCCTGATCATTACCAGGATCTTGGTCTGATAAGATGACTGTATAAAGCAGAGCAAATATGCCCTGGTTGTAAGCCAGAAACTTCAACCACAGAGAAAGAAAGATGCATACCAAAAGGCAGTGCAGGGGTGGATTGGAGAAGTGAAGACTGGTATCAGGAAAAATAACTGGAGTCTATTGAAACTGTCTCAATGAGAGCTGATGGAAGTTTTAATTAAGATAACCACCAAAGGGCAGGTGGGGACAGAAGGGGGACAGACTTCAGGGTAGGAAGGACAGATATACAGCGAGGGAGAGGAAGAATGACTGGAGAGAACATCACTGCCAGTGGCCTGACCGCAAGGCCTCTGTTCTTTCCTGAGATGTCATGTTGCCCTGTCATAGAACGAGGACCCCACTTTAGTCCAGCTCTTCCATTTTATAGCAAAAGGAGGAAATCAAAACCCAGGAAATGGAAACCCTCATCTAAGGCTGAACTGCAAGATGGTGGAAGAGCACACGCGGAAGCCAAGGCTCCTCCCAGATCCAACCGTCTCCCATGGGTTCACATTAGAACTTTTAGCTAGAACCACCTGAGGGGCCTTTCCAAACACATGAAATCATATATGATTGTGGCCATCCTGATGGGTGTGCGGTGGCATAAAGCCTTTCCAGAACATAGGTTTACTAAAGATTTTGATGTCTCCAATGCCAAACTTTGAATAAAGTCCTAAGTTCCTTAATCACAATGCTTTCACCCAAGGAGAATTTTAGAATGGTTACAGAAGGAATACTCTATTGTCATTTTAACAATCTTTACCAACTAAAAAGGTAAAAATTAAATTTTATTTTGACTTTTTCGTTATTGGTGAAGTTGAATTTTTTACTGTGATTTTTAATTAGCTGTGGCTTCTCTGCTCTGAACTGTTTGTGTCCGAACATAGTACAATAAAAAAACAGCTATTGAGTGCTTTCTATGTGCTAGTTACTGGTCGAAGAGCTTCACATGTAGTCAGTCGGTTAGTCCTGACCCACGAGGAGGCAGGTGCAATGATTAATCTAGTTTATGGAGGACACAGAAACATGAAGACATCAAGTATTGTGCCCCAGGTCATACCCAGAAAGTCTGGATTCAAAGCCTGCGCAAACTACAAAATGGCCAATATTTCCCTAATTTATTTGCTTGCCTTATTTTCCCTATTAATATAATCATTACATTTTTATGGTTAAATCTATCAGTCTACTCCTTTCTTTTATTGGCCTTTTTTTTTTTTTCCAGTCAGCTTAGCACGTCCTCCTCTTTTCAGAGATTAGAAAATATTTGGAATTTTTTTCGTATCAAATGATATTTTTGTTTTCAATGTTTTATAATGGCACCTTTCTGCTGGGTTTTATTTCATAATTGCTTGTCTTTTTAATGAACATTATATGTTCAGTCGGCTCTTTGAGGATACTGAAGCCTCTTTCTGGTTGCTCTTTTCTCGTCATCTGGCACGAATCTGTCTCTGGAGTGTTGATGCTGCTGGCTGACTTTCTCAGTGTGTTTTTGTGTAGTTCGGAACTCCGCCTCCAGGTTCATTTCCTGTTTTTTTTCTTTCTGTCTCCCTTCCCTATTCCTCAATCCTCCTGTCCAGTGACTGAGTGGTTGCTCTCCCTCGGGCGCTGGGGCCTGTCCAGAGGAAGGTCTTATAGGCAGCCAGGGCTCCTGCCCTGGTATGACCCTGGGTGTGACTCCGGGCAAGAGGAGGCTGCATTAGGTCCACGTGCAGACTCATCTGGGTATCCAGGGACCTCCCTATCCATCTATTTTCTTGAAGATGGTGGGGAGAGGCCAGACGCGGCTCCTGGAGTTTTGATCAGTGAACGTGGACTCTGGTCCCCCACCTCAAGCAGACAATTGAGTTCTTTCTCATCACTTGACAGGCCTTGAATTCCTAGCTGCCCTTGACTGTTCCGAGACTCAGAGCCCAACAGGCCTCTGCTTCAGCCCTATTCATTTTTTGCTTTTATATTCCATTTCTGAGAGTATCCATGGGGATATTCTCCCCTTGTTGAACATGGATTTTTTTTCTTTTCTTCTTTTTTTTTAAGATTTTATTTATTTATTTGACACAGAGAGAGAGAGACAGCGAGAGCAGGGACAGAACCAGGGGGAGTGGCAGAGGGAGAAGCAGGCTTCCCGCTGAGCAGGGAGCCCGATGTGGGGCTCAATTCCAGAACCCTGGGATCATGACCAAGGCAGACGCTCACCAACTGAGCCACCCAGGCGCCCTGGATTTTTTTTCTCCAATATTTTATACATCATTGTTCTTCATTGGAAGCCTCTGGGCTATCTGTGCTGTTTCACTCGCGTGTCCATGTCTTTTGTACAAGCATTAATTGTACATGCTACATGGTAGGGGGCTACTCTAACAAGTTCCTCCAAGCATATTCTGCTAACTTTCTCAAGGCTGGATCAGGGAGGAGGTTCTACAGTAGTCACCTGAGATAGGGACGGGGGAGGGGGTGCTGTCCCCCACCCAACTCGAGGATGCATGAAAGGAGCCCTGGGATGGCAGCTTTAGGACAGGAAGAAGGTTTCTGCTTGGGGTTCCATGCCAACATTTCATTAGGGGTCTCAAGCCAGGCTGGATCCTGTGCCAGGGAGTATATGAGAGCAAACACTGGAAGCTGGAGACGGTCCCCGGATGGACAACCAGAGGTGTCATATGTCATGGGTGTATGTGATAGCAGGATGCATCAGGGGCATTATGTAGCCGTGTCCTTGGGACCCAGTGAGTAAATCATCCAATATTCCAGATCTATCCTGGTCTGGGTGAGCAGGGGATTTCCAGTTGCTTCCAGAGGGAGGCAGGGCTCACGCATGGCCCCAGTTTGTTTCCCTTTTCCTGCTGCACCAGTTTTGTCCAAAGCTCAGAAGGGGATCTAAACATAGAATCGCATCAGCCTTGTTTGCAATATAAACAGACCCGGCTCCTGCTCGAGTCCCTTCTTGGCTATGAATTCAGGGGCGGTAAGGAGCAGCCTCTGCCCACCCCGAGGCCCTGGCTCCCCTTGCCACTAGCATTCTGCGCTCAGGCCCAGTGGGGCTGAAGAGCAGACATGGGCCAGCTTCCGGAGCAGGACACACTAGGCTACCTGCTTGGCCAGACTGGGCACCAGTGCAAGTTTGTCCCAGAAGCCAGTTCTTCCTGGAACTGAGTGTCATTTCAGGACAGAGGATGCCAGGAGTCATAACTTGGCCCTGCAGCAAATGAAAGTCTTCCAGTCCTGCCTGAGATGGCAGATTGTTCAGCTTGGGACGGGGGCCCGAGCTGGGACTGCGGTGGCGTGAGGAGCGGCTGGAAGGCCCACCAGGGGGAGCCCTCGGCACATCTTGCGGTGGTCGGTCTCCGTGGAGCCTCCCGGAGGGTGCGTGGGGGTGATTTCGTTTTTCTACCACACACGTTGAACCGTGCCTCCATTTTCCTAGGTCACGGATTGAACTTGACCTGCTGCCACGGTTCAGGTCCCGCCGTGCTTCGGCTGGAGTAGTTCTGACGTGGTCCGGCACGGGGCAGGGGCCGAGAGAGAAGGCCCGGGGCGGCGTCTTCACTCCCCAAGTGCAGCTTTGTCCACCGCACCTGGTAACCGAGGTCCCGAGGACGTCCCGAAGCTTCAGAGTCCCGCGCAGAGGGAGGAGAGAGGCGAGGGAGGTGGGTGGGCGGGCTCCACTGCTCTCAGGCAGGCGTCCCCACCAGGACGGAGAGCCAGCACCCGCCCCCCCCCTTTCTGCCCTTGCCCTGTGCTCTAGAGACCGCGGGCGGGGCTGGGGACGCACAGAGCAAGGGCTGCTCAGGGAAGACACTGCCCGGGCGAGGAGCGGGGCGGGGGCGCATCCGAGGGAGGGACGTGGCTACCTGGGCCTCAGGTGGGCCGGGGAGGAACTGGCACGGAGAGTGGGGTGAGGCCTGGCAGAGAGGCTGCGGCCACCTTTCCAGCTTTAACTGCACAAATACCGGTGTACTCTGGCTTCTCCGAGAGCCCCACAAGCCCCCCTGCCTGGGTTCAAAACACTAGGGGGTTGTACTGTTGGAAGCAGTCAAGTAAGTCGGAGGGAATTTCAGGGTCAGGGGGCTTGTCATTCTCAGGTGCAGGCTGAGAAAATGCCAGGCTCTCCCAGGAAACCTACCATGTTCTGCATAGTGCTGCCCACGTTGCAGGTAAGAGACGGGAGGAAGGAAGGACCTAAAGATAGGGCCTGCTGATCCTTCCGTGGCTCCCGAGTTTTAAATACTGGACCTTTGAGGGAAACGAAAGGGTTCATGGAAAAGCCCAGGACTTAGGAGAAGGGGACACTAA